TAGGGTTTATAGGGCCTATAGGGTTTAGGGTTTAGGGTTTATAGGGTTTAGGGTTTATAGGGTTTAGGGTTTAGGGTTTATAGGATTTAGGGTTCAGGGTTTATAGGGTTATAGGATTTAGGGTTTAGGTTATAGGGTTTAGGGATTAGGGTGCTGCACACAGCAGCTCTGCTCTGCGACGTCCAAAGTAGTGATGGCGTAGAACTCCCGAAGGCGATCTACTATAGGGGCCGAAATAACTGCCTACACTATCTTGGGGGCTCCTTATTAGATGATAATTATAGAAAATGTGTCCCAAAACCCCATTCTAATTATAAAGGCCCCTACAGTAGATCTCACCTTCCTAGAGTTAGCAGATGAAAAGGATTTCCGAAAAGACTACGAAAGATCTCAGGAGAATGACTCTCGAAATCAAGGCCCAAGATCTTGAAGCGTAGTGCAAGCGTGTGATCAGCCGTACATCTGATCAAGGCTGCTTGGAAACCATTGAGCAAGTATTTCTTGGAACCCTATCCATCAGAAAGACCCTGTCCAACAGCAGGACCTTGTCTGACACAAAACGATCGGGTCGGAGAGCCTTATCTGGCAGAAAAGCCTTGGCGCTGCTTAACAGAAAGAGTGACTTAACTACTTCTAACAGAATAACCACCCTATCGGCCCTATCTGTTACTTTTGACAGAGCACCCTATCCAACATAAAGATGTTGTCCAAAAGACGAGCTGTATGCAACAGGAACACCAACAGTAGACAGTAATAGCAAAATATCTAAATCTTCGTAGTAGAGTAAGTAACCTTTAACCCTCTTGGGAAACTACAACCCCTATATAATCCCAAAGGCCCAAAGATTCACCTTTCTACCCGTAGGCCCCTAAGTAGTTCCTTTTTGTGGTCTTATTTAGAATCCTATAAGGTACTCCCACAAAGGAACTACTAAGGAGCCTATGGGTAATTACCACTGCCCTTCCTCAGGGTTTCTGTTTGGAGGTTTAGGGTTTAGGCTCAAACCTCCTATCGTATCTTCCGAGGCATCATGGAGCGATCCTCATCCTACACCTGCCCCGCCTTGGTTTAGTGGTAATGCCCTGAATCACCGAAGCTCTGGACAGCCTAAGCGTCGAGTCCTCGTGCTTCCCGTTTAGGATTTAGCGGCCATGGATTCCTCGAAGACCTAGTCGCAATACAGGTTTGGTACGCCCGCGAGTTTCTGCCGCTTCCCTCACGTGGCACAGTGACGCGACTTTGTTGCTTGTCCTTCAGTGAGTGGTGTGTCCAGCAGGTTCTTGAGTCCGACAAACTGGTTTTCCTCTTTGTGCATGTCGAAAAAAAAAGTGCCGAGACTCCCTGCAGGACAATGCGGCTCAGTGCCTGGATCGTGCAGCGGCGCCTTGTCGCCACACCGGCGACTTTCCGGTGCTCGAGCTTCCAAGCTCGGCTTCAAGGAGAGCCGAGATCGTGATTCTGCCTAGGGTTTAGGGGTTTCGGGGTTTAGGGTTTAGGGCTTTAGGGCTGCTGTGGTTACCGTCGCTGTTTTTTTCTTTTCTTTTTTTCCATAGGGCACTGCTCCCTCTTCGATCGCTTCAAGCATGTGGACAGGGCCGGATCACCCTTAACTCAGCTTCTTCGGAATGCCTACAGAACCTACCTTTTTAGTCTGGGATTTCATGATCAGAAACCCTAAATTACTAAACCCTGGTCCTTATAACCTTAGCACACCCTTGATTTAGACGCTAGGGAGTCGGAGCTTAAAGTTCAGATTGATTGCGAAGGAGCTCCATCGTCAGTGCGGCTGCCCGTCCCTTGGAGCCCAGTGCCGTGGAGGAAAACCAGCGGCACTGCCCTCAATCTTGAATTTGTTTCTCTTCTACTCGTCGACCGCCGGGAGTATTTTTCAGGTGGGCCGCAGCGTCAGCAGACCGATGACTTGCCCCGAAACTGTCCCAAAGTCAGCCTCGAGAGCCCGATGCAAGTTCGGAGGTCGTGCGTGTTTTTTGGGTGGACACTGCCCTAAAACCCCTATAAACCCTACACCCTAAGCCCTGAGACTGAGGGCATGGCACAAGAACACCCACTCTTGGCCCTGAGTCCCGTGGTCTGCCGTCTCGGTGGCATCTGGGCCTGCAGGGGCTGAGAAGGCTCCGCCAAATCCGCATCGAAAGGCCACCACCATACTAGGGATCTACAGTTAAGCAACAAATTAACAGGGGGTCCTGAAAAGGTAGTGACAAATTGCAAGTCCCATAACTAGCAAGAGCCCAGCTGGAGTGGAGCCCATCCATCTGAAGTCCTTTTAAACACAGGCTTTATAGGTGCCGGCTAGGCAGGAGTGAGCCTTTCATGGAGCTGTCCGAGGCCACCCTAAACCCTAAAGCCCTACACCTTAGACCGTGGGATGGACAGCAACTTTGCCCTTGCTTTTTGAGTATTTTGGGGGCTCTGGCCTGAGCTCCGGCTTTGAGGGCCTGACCATGATATCGACACGGAGGCACAGCATCTCGTCAGTGAGAAAGCATGCGTCCCCAAAACAGCCGGAACCTCTACAGACGATTCTAAACTGCAGTAGGACAGCAGCTCGCTGCAGTGAACTACCAAAGTCACACAGGAGCCTCTATCGCACGGAGCTCTCGCGATGTCCCTTACTGTAAGCCGCGGACGACTGCACGGCTCAACTCCGACGTTTTGTCGCGCTGCGACGTTGCAGCTATCGCCTGAGCCCTTGGTCTCGTGAGGGGAGTGCCAGTACACTCCCTGGCGGCCTCCCTCCTACTGGCATTGTAGCACAGGCTTAGGCTTTAATGGGCACTGATACTATCCTTCCAGACACTCGACATCCTCTGTCATGGAGCGGCGGCATGTCATGTTGTCGAGCCTCCTTCTTGTAGCTGCCCTGCTGCTCAAGGCTTGCGAAGCTTCTCGAACGCCCGCTTTCTCCTGCGCCGTTTGACAGTCTCTCCTACCCGAGGTCGCCTTGCACTTCTTTGGCTTCGGAATTGGTTCGGACATGAGCAGAAGTTCAGGCTGACGCCGGCTTGCGCCTCCGATTCAGAGACCGCCCTACTCTCCAGAGTTCTCTGAGCGTCCGAATTAAGGGGGCCTTGCAGCGCTTTGAGGCGCTTTGTGGGCTCTCATTCAGCTTGCAGGCTAAGCTTGCACCGAAAAGGGTACGTCCAGCTTCCCGGACAGCTACCTTTCCGCGAAATTTTTAGGTACATATGCGGGTTCTTGAGGCATAAAATGGCATAAGGTGAATCCTGTGCATCCAACCTTCAGGTACTCCACTCCTCTACACTCGCGCGCACTTGGCCTCCCCTGGCTCTTGACCATCTTGAGCTTGCGGCTCCCCCCGGCTCATGGCCTGCTTCGATTTGAAGTAGCCGACGACTCGCCTGCTTCATCCGATGCGACGCAGGGCGGTGTAGGGTTGAGGGTTTTAGGCTTCAGTATCGGGCCAAAAATGCCCGACAAGAGCCCTTCCTTACACCGGGTGCTTCGCCCAGAAATTCCGAGAGAGAGCGAGAGGGAGCGCCCGGCCACACGACTCTTCCTCGTGGGGGGTAAGTAAGCCTTGTAAGCTTGGGTTTAGGGGTTTAGGGGTTGGGAGGTTCGGGGTTTTCCTCGTGTTGGGAGGCGGGGGCTACCTGCGCATGGCACTGGTTGGTGCAATGTCCGTCGGATGAGCCATTTGCGAGAGTCCTCTGCTTCACGCTCAAGACACTCCGGTGTTGATGTTGATGTTGGATGACCGAGCATCTTGCTTGAAGCCGGAGTTTGGAGTTTGCGCACGGACACCCATTCTCCCCCGAGCACCAACGTAATGAAAAGGGGCCATTGACCAAATAGCCCTAAACCCTAAACTCTAAACCCTAAACCCTAAACCCACAAAAAAGTTCAAGGGGCAGTTGGGCCTGCTCGCGGGCAGCGCAGCCTACCCTTAGGACAAGCTCCAGGCTCTAGATGGGTCGAGACTCAAAGCCTATGCAAGGGTTTATGATTCAAGTTATGACCCAAATCCCAGGGTTTATGATTCAGATAAAAAGATAAAAGTTATGACTCAAATCCCATCCAGGGATTCATAATTACAGGGCTTCCCTTCTGCATCGCGCGATCCTCGCGCCCAGAAGGCCACGGCATGCCAGGAGTGGCCCGGCAGCGCAAGGAGGGAAGGAAGGCCGAGCCAGAGCTCTGCCAAAGATGCAGCTTTCTGATGACCTCGTCAGGGCCCGGCACGACTTGCCGATCCACGAGATGTCAGAGAAGCCATAGAAGGCCTCTCAAAGCCCCAAAAGCCTAAAGCCCCAATCCCCCGAAGCCTTTGAAACCCTAGAGCCCCAAGACCTGGTCCCTTGCTTGGAGCCTCCTCTGCCGGCAAGAAAACAAAGTCGGCGAAGTTCTCATGGCTTTCATCCCAGTCCCAGGAAGACGAGGAGCTTTAGGATTTAGGGCCTTTGGGTTGAGGGATTGTTGGGGTTAGCCGGGTGCCCAGCTGGGAGCAGACCTCTCACAGAAAACTGGAAAATGTTCTTGCGCAGCAAAGCCTCGGAGCCTTTGCCTGCCACCTTGGTCGCCTCATATTCTGGTCGAGCTCCGACATGAGCTGGGCAAGCGGAGCAGCAGAGGGATAAGTTTTGGGCTTGGCTAGACGGAGAGCATCTCAAGTCTCTTCCAACCGGTGGTCTTCTAAAAATGTGCAGCAGTTGAACCGTTTGAAGCTTCTAGTAGCAGATGAGAGTGCCAGAGATGAAGTCAATGAAGCCACGGGTCTTGTCAGAGTGAAGTCTTCAAGAGGAACTCGGCTTCAATGCTTGGCTTCACTTTCTGGCATCTGCTTCTAAGCACCATCACTTGTACCGTAGATGCCTTCCACAGCAGGTGCCAGTGATGGCCGACATTCCTCTGGTTGCACCAGGCGCATGCAAACACGTCGCAGGCGCTACATTCGCCACGGCTTTTTTGGGGCGGCTCGACAGGAAGCAGCGCGAAGCATGGTGACGCAGAGACTGCCGAGCAAAGAAGCCCCTTCAACCACATATGGGCCTCTGTGGACCCTTGCGTATCGCGATGAAAGCGTCATACAGTACAGCAGCAGCCTTGAACACGGAGATTCCGGAAGGGTCAGTGCCTTCCATGCCCAGTCTTGCATGATGGAGGTTGCATGGTGCCGCTGCTACTTGCTGCAAGTAGTTACTTCCATGGTCCTTAGCTGTGACCGTCGACCCAAATACTCGATTCTGAAAGGCTTCATTTAGGGTTTTCTAGGGCCCTCAATCCGCGGTGCATAGCGCGGCTCGAAGCCGGCGTCCGGGTTTCGAGGCTTCGACCCGGAGATCAGGGAAGATGGGGCTCTTCCCTCTTTGCTGCATCGTGCAGAGGTCGCTTCAACCCCCAAACCTCCAGAAGAAGCCCCCAAGGCAGGTGGGATATCGGAACATGAAGGGCTCTTGTATCCAGATCTCGGAATGTGACAGCACGCTCATCTTGCATGCGCTGTCCTGTCCCCTTCAACCTCGGGGACCCTAAGGCACAAGGAGGTTTAGGGTTCAGGCTTCAGGGATCAGGGTTTAGGGTTTAACTGTTTAACGCAACTTGGGAACCACGCCGTTGGCTTGAGACTCTAATCCCACAGCCTAAGATATGCTAAGACAGAAGTCTCCCGCCCCACTTGCCCAACGTCGGCCTTCGACTCTGTAGGAAGAAGTCGTGTTTTGAACCCCTAAACCCTATAAACCCTAAACCCCTAAACTCTAAACCGTGTAGGATTCTTCGGAGCTGTGGCCTAAGTGGCGGCTCTCCGGATGCGCCGCTTTCGGCTTAGGGTTTAGAGGCTTCAGGCTCCTCTTGGATCCCAGCACGGAGCGGATTCAGACCGGAACGGATGCTCCCAAGTCCCACTTCCGAGAGTGCGTCGGGATGTCTCTGGGCTGTGGAGCTTTCGAATTCTAGGAATTTCTCGGTGTAGAGATCGGCGGAGAAGCAGGGAGCAAGGCACGGAGGGTCGGAGCCTGAAGGATGGCTTTTAAGTCTTAGACAGGCGCAGCTCTCGTGTTCTAGAAAAGTCTCGGAACCCCCCAAGTTTTTCAGCAGATCCAACACGCCCAAGCTCTCCCTAGGTGTCTCCGACGCCAGTCAACCCGCAGCCCGGCATAAAACCCATGGAAGCTGGGCCAAGAGGTCACATGCTACTGTCAAACTCTAAACCCTATAAGCCCATGATGCCAGTGGAGGCCCAGCTCACAAGCGGACTTCCGAAGCTCTCGTGCCTGCTACCCAAGAGTTGCTTTCGAAGCTCCTTGGGTTTAGGGTTTTAGGGGTATACAGTAGCATTAGCAACAGGCATTTCAACTTGGGTTCAGATTTGCAGCCGGCTGTAGGCACGGCTAAGCAGAACTAAGCTGTAAGCCAGGTACTTCACAGGTCTTCCGGTCTCAGTGTTGGGCCTGGGAGGTTAGGATTCAGGGGATTTCCAGGGTTTAGGGTTTGGGGGTTTAGGGGTTTAGGGTTTAGAGGTTCAAGGGCTTAGGGACTTCCCAGGCCGTCAATCTAGATCGGAAGCGGCCAGTCATGACACAAGAGAAGTTTTCATCCGCGCATCGGCAGCCGCGACGTCATGGGCCTGACACTCGAGGAGACGGATTGCGATGTGGTCTCCGAAGACCACCTGAAGTCCGAAGAAGGATTCGAAGGAGCCTGGATTGGTTTCAAAGCTTCCGGACCCCCTGAAGAAGGAGCTCTCTTCGGACAGAAGCCAGAGAGACGGGAGAGGCCAAAAAAGGCGGCCTGAAACCACAGGCAGTGCAAAAAGGGACTCCTTTGTTTAGGACTAGACATGCGAGGACTTAGGTTCCGGGGGAGAGGAGTTGCAGGGATATTTCTGGCATAAACCCGACAAACCCTATATACCCTATACACCCTATATGTCTCATTCGAGAGACTTGGTGGATCGTGTGACCCTGGTCCATTGCGACTTCAGGCAGCTCAGGACGTAGGCAAGACCCTTGCGCCACCTCCAGCCCTCCACTCGACATCACGTCCGCTAAACAGAAGGATGTAGGGTCTAGGGTTGAGGGTCTAGGGTCTAGGGAATATCGCAGATGACTCTGCAAGCCCTGCCACCCAGGGCATTGACATACACCTCGAAGCCACGTCTCTGGCCACGGCACGACGCAGCTGTGGGTCCTTTGCGGAACTTGCTTGAGCTGTAAAGCTCGCAACCGAGCTTTCGCCTAAGCATGAGCGCTCCAGATGCATGCAGCAGGCAACATACACAGATCATGGACAATTTGGCGATCGATGCTGGAAATGTCCGAAAGGCAGCCCTGCGTGGATCTCAGCACGGCCAAATTCAGTCGCCAGTTTCACTGGACCCCATCCCTCTGCCCTGCCGAGTCTTGAAGCATGCCATGCCAGTGGGAGGTCCTGCGTCCGACGATCTAAGAACCCTGCAAGGCGAGGCCCGGTTCCTCACTCCATGCACTCCTTTTCTGGACTGCTACTCAAACCAAAACCCTACAAACTGATCAGCCGAAAGCTATGTAGACCCAAAAGAAGCCCAAGCTCTCCATGCACTGCAGCTCGAGTTCAGCCGGCATTTCTGGGACGGCAAGGAGCAAGAGGGCAGCTGCATCTTGAGCCTGCGTCCTCGTGCGCCCCCCCCCCCCTAGTGAGGCCTTGCGGTACGTTTTGCAAAGTTTTGGGGTTCAGGGCCCTATAAGCCCTAAACCCTAAGCCGACAGGGTTTAGGGTTCAGGGTTTTTTTATGGCCTCTAGGAGCCTTCAAAAAATCAGTCTTAAAAGGCCTACTGAGAGCTCAGTCGCGGTGATCAGCCGGTTGAGGCGTTCCGTGCCGTCTTCGCGAGGCTCCAGGACCAAGGCCTGCCTCATCTTGCTGCAGGTTCAGGGTTTTCGTGCCGGTTTAGGGGTAAGATGTCAGGGTTTCGGGTGGAATTGCTTGCAAAAAGCGGTGCTTAAGACTTCAAGGAGAGGCAGGCTATTCGACCTGTCAACATTGCACTGTATGAGCCCTTGGGCCAAAGATGGTCTGAGCTCTGGGCCGCTTCCCGACCGGCAAGATAACCCGCTGTGATGGCCCCGGCTGCCTGGTCCAGCTGCCGAAATATTCCTCAACGTAAAAAAGTATCTCCTTAAACCCCTAAACCCTAAACCCTATCTGAGCTCTACATCAAGGTCAGGGTCCGGGTTATGAAGATGAGGGCTTATGAGGGGCCTTATGTGCAGACCCCTCACTCTGAACCATAAGCTTGTGCAAGCGAAGGTCGCGGTGCGGAGCCGACCAGAGAGGAGGGGTGACTTGTTTGTCTCCTTAGATTTAAGCAGAGAGCTGCCCCTTCAGGGAAAGTCTATGGGTCAAGAGCCCAAGACACTCCTAAAGTCGAAAGACGAGACAACAGGAGGGGGTTCAGGGCTGGCTTTTGGGGAGTTGCTAGGAGGCAGAGACGTGCGCCACTGAAGGTCTCTCTAACGGAGGCTGCAAGGCAGGCCTCATGGAGCGCCAAACTCCGGCAACCCTGGGACAAGGGCCGCAACGCTCTTCGAAGGCTCTCCTGCCCCGGACACGACCAAAGCCAGGAGGATCTTGCACTGAACCTTATAGGCTTTAGGGAGCCTGGATACCAGGTTGCGGAAGGTAACCAGCCCTGTGCCGCTTTTGTGGCAGAGCTTGGCAGAGACGCCCCAAACCCTAAACCCGAAGCCCCGCAATAAAATCCCACTTCCCTAGAGTAGTACTCCTTTGCTCGATGCCTCGATGGCGAGCGCCACTCTCTTTTGCAAGTTTCTGACACATGCGCACGATTGCAGGTGGACTTGCGTGCCTGCTAAAGGTCTCTGGGCAATTGCATTTGTGCATCGTGGCTTGATCGTTGCCCTTCCTGTCAGACGTGCAGTGTTCCGGAATGCAGCGGCAAAAGGTTGTTTCTGAGCGGTGTCCCCCTGCCCCTGCAAAAGGCTCGCGTTCTTCGGGTCACCTGCACATGCAGAGCTTCCGTAAGACGCCGCTTGCATCCCTCAGACGCCCCCATTCTGACACCTCGCCTGCTGTCTCGGTGCTGGCCTGGCACAACTTACCGAGACCTGGGGCCCCAACAGCCCTGCCAATGTCGGTGGAACACCCGGGAAGTTTAAAGAGCACTTGGGCAGTTCTCTAAATGAGGTTCCCGTTTAGGTACCCAATACAGTACGGCACTCTCAAAAAAAGGACCCTCATTTAGAAAACTATCCACGTCAAAGCATTCAAAGACAAAGACGCCTTTAACCACCTCGTGTTGAGCGCGAAGGCCCTTTGCCACTCTCTGCAGCACCAAGGTTGGGAGCTAGGGAGCCTTCTGACACTTCTCAGCAGAAAAGGAAAGATCAAGGAGCCAAGAAAGGCGGCAAAAAATCAGTAGGGTGATGTTTCAGAGTCCCAACTTGCCTAAGCCCTGCTACTCTTGTACTGTCTTTATGTCCTGAGGTAACCTGAGGTGCGATCCGTAGGCCGACCCGAAGTCTTTCGCAGCCTCTAACACTTCCTTAGTATCCTCCTAGAAGCTTCTCATTAAATCTTGATACC